GCGGCCGTTAGTCTTCCACAGAGGCTTACACTGTTCTGCAAAACGGCTGCGTTTTGTGGCGCGTCCTCTGCTTGTGTCCGTCTAGCCGTTTCCTCTTCAGCGTGTTCCTGGGGTCGTCTGGAATCGTGACCGAATCAGCAACGTTTTGTAGCGCGTCTCTTCCATGTGTCAATGCGTCGTTCTTGCTCAGTGTGGGCTCGGGGTGCTTTCCAAAACAACGGCATTTTGTATCGCCTCCTTTTATTGTGCTGGTGCGGGCGTATCTTCTGCAGCGTTGTCCTCGAGTCGCCCGAACTCGTCTCCACAGCGGCGGCACTTTCTAGCGCGTCTCTTCCTCGTGCGAGCCGGCGCTTTCTTCTCAGTCCTGGGTTGGCGCGTTCTCAAAAACAACGGCATTTTGTAGCGCTTCTTCCGCCGGTGTCGGTGTCGTCGTTTCCGCTGAAGCGCCGGGTGAGTTAGGCGCAGGGTGAATTTCGTGCCAGGTGGGGTCTGGACCCAGGGGTCCAGACCCGGGGTCTGGACCAGGGGGTCGGGACCAAGAGGTCTGACCAGGGGGGTCCGAACCAGAGGGGCTGGCGGCTTACTGCAGGTGGGGTGGTCTCCAGGACCTCTTGGGATGCAGGTGGTCAGGGGGGGATCCTTCTCCTCCTCGTCCTCCTCCTCATCCTCCTCCTGCTCTTCTGCAGGGTCCAGAGCTGAGCGGAAGGCCATTCCGATTTCAACTTCGATTCAGGCGTGACGTTTTCGATTCCGACTCCGATCCGAAGGCCGTGTGGGATTTCGATGCCTGTCCGGTCCGGTTCGCGTGTTTCCGATTCCGTCCGATTCGATGTTTGGCCGATCCGATTCCGAGCTTCCGATTCGATTGAAGGGAGACCGGGTGAGTCAGACGCTGTGTGAGGTTGGCGCCAGGTGAGTTGGGCTGTTTTGAAAAACAGCGGCGTTTTGTAGCGAGTGCTGCGCGTGTGGCCGTGCGGGCGTCTCTTTTTCATCCAGGTCATGGAGTCATCTGGGGCCGCATCAAACACAGGCATTTTGTGGTGCGTTCCTCCCTGTGCTAGTGCGCCGTTACTTCGTAAGCGTGGGATGGGGGCGCTATCAAAAAACACGAATTGTTTTGTAGCGTTTGTTTCTCCTGTGCACAGGCGCGGAAACTTTCTCGTAAGTATGCTCACGCAGTCGACTGGTCTCGTGTCAAGACCAGCGGCACTGTGAAGCGCGTCGCCTTCCTTTGGCAGCCCACTCGCTTTCCAATCTTCGGTTGGCGCGGTCTCCAAAACACGGTGTTTCGTAGCGTCTCCTTTGCCTGTGTCCGTGTCGCTTCCCTTTGAAGCGCCGTGTGAGTTGGTCGCTGCGTGATTTAGACGCCAAGTGAACCTCGCGCCGGGTGAATTCTGCCAAATGAGTTCGGCGACCAGTGAGTTCCGAAGCAGATGAATTTGACGTCGGGTGAGGTAGGCACAAGGTAAGCGGTGCGAACAATGCGCTTGTCTCTCTCTCATTCTCTCCTTCTTCCTCCTCCGCTTTCTTCCGCTAATTCGCGTCGCCGTCGGTGTCGTCGTCGCCGCCGCCGTCTCCGCTTTGTGTATCCGGCACGCCTTGCCCGGGCGCCCCCCCGAAGAGGACAAAGGTAATTAAAGACGAAGAGGAGGAGCAGGAGGACAAGGAGGAAGATTCCAAGGAGGCGGAGGAGGAATAGGAGGAGAAGGAGGTGGTGGAGGAGATAGGAGGAGGACAACGAAACGGCGGACCAGGAGGAGGAGAAGGAGGGGAAGGAGGATGAGGATTAGGAGGATGAGGAGGAGGAGGAGGAGGAGGAGGAGGAGGAGGAATAATGGGAGCACGAGAAGGAGGATGAGGAGACGAACGGTGAAGTCGTTGGTCTTGACATGAGTTATGCGCTAGGTGAGTCAGGCGCCAGGTGAGGCAAGTGCTGGGTGAGTTAGGCACCGGGTGAGTTAAGCGCCCAATGAGTTGAACGCCCAGAGACTGAGGCGCCGGGTGACTTAAGCGCATCGTAAATTAGGCGCTGGGTGAGATAGACGCCGGGTGAGTCAGGCGCTGGGTGAGCTAGGCTCTGGGCGAGCGAGGGCTGGGTGAGTGAAGCGAGGCGCAGGGTGAGTGAGGTGCCAGGATTGGGCACCGGATGAGTTAAGCCCCAGGGAAACTTAGGCGCCAAATTCGTTAGGCGCCGGGTGAATTTGGCACCAAGTAAGTCAGGCACTGGGTGAGCTAAGGCACCGAGTGAGGTAGCGACCGGGAGGGTTAAGCACTGTGTGACTTAGGCGCCGGGTGAGTGAGGCGCCGGGTGAGTTAGGCGCCGGGTGAATTAGGCACCGGGTGAATTGGCCACCGGGTGAATGAGGCGCCGGGTGGGACCGGTGAGATAGGCGCCGGGTAGACAAGCACCCGGTGAGTCAGGCACGGGGTGAGTAAAATTAGACCTGGTGAATAAAGGATCAGATGAATTAGACTGGGTGAGATAAGGACTGGTTGAGCTAGACCGGGTGAGTCACAGACCTGGTAAATGGGACGCGGGTGCGTTAAGGATCGGGTGAGTTCGGGCTCCAGGTGAGTTCAAGATCGGATGAACTAGCCCATTTTCTTCCGTCTTCAGTTCTCCAGGCGGGGAATGCCCGCTTTGGAAGACGATCGCCCCATGGGCTGCTATGCAAGCAGAAACGTTGATTTCAAGGGGAGTCCATCCAATAGTGGATCCTTCAAGCAAGAACCCTGTTTTGAGGAAGCCGTCCTCTGTCAGTGTAAGCGGTAGAGAACAACCGCACTTTGAGAACGACCCGCCATCCACCCGTGCGACGGTTGTGCGATGTTCAAGCTTTCAGCGACAAGCCCATTTAGAAAATGGACCACTCCCCATTTGCGTGACCTCTTCGACCTTTGTAACACATGCGCGCGGCACTGAGGCGAGAACCATGTTGAAAACAGCAACACCAACAATTGTGTAGCTGCTCATTGAGAGAACGGTTAAGCGTGGCACTACAGCGAGAGCCACATGCTGAAAACCTTCCTCCCTCTAATTATCCGCGTGACTGTTGGAAGCTTCTACGACGAGTGTACGGAGCCAAGGCTGGAATCACATTCTAAAAACGATATGTCTACATGAACATGGCCGATCGCATGTCTCAAGCTTCAGGACCACGAGCCCTAAGCAAATCTGAGGCAGGAGCACAGTCGTTTTCTCACTCTGCCTGGCTTCGGGCCAGCCTGGCGACGCGGCCTGGCCAGCCCTTTCCAGGAGGACAGGGTGGACGATGCCACTGAAGCCCCAGAGCCGATGGGCTCGGGATTGTTTGGTGACCTTCGAATGATGCGGCCGGGGCCAGCCGCAGAGAGGGCCCAAATCTGCGCACTCCCACTCATTTGAAAAGGAAGGCCCAAGTCCTCGAAGAGTACAGTCGAACATATGAGCAAGAAAATAACCTGCAAGAGATCTGTGCAAACTTCCTCAAAATTCCTTGAAACAAACCTGGGCACATGTTCGTTCTTCATGCTCACGAAACTGGGCCAACTTTCCGGCAAGCTGGTAAACCAAAAAATTGGCCCAGGTTTTTCCAGGAGGCGGTTTCTTAATTAATCAGCTGATCGGCTGCAGGTGCCAAAAGGTAACGGGTCCTGGCAAAAAGGGGTCCTGGACCCCAGGGCTTTCCCCTGGGACCAGCACGCTTCGTCCCGAACGGTTCTGCTGACGGCCACGGGGGCCAGGGAGGGACAAAAAGAAGACGGCGAAAGGACATCAAGGATCCGCTTCCCTCAGGACCCGCCTCCTCCACTATCGGGGGCAACGATATGGGGGGATAGGCATAGGAGGAATGCATCGACCTCGGATGGTTGATACATCGGCGATGTATCGTTGTTTGCATAGCGATGTACCGGCAATGTATCGGCGATTCATGGGGCGGTCAGCATCGACGACGTAGCGACGATGCATGGGCGATGTATCGGCCATTCGAGGTCGATGCATCCCCCCCATCTGCCCATCCCCCCCCCCTATCGTTGCCCCTCACATTCGAAGTAGGGCGAGTTGAGACAGCGGCAGCTCAAAATCGGTCCCCCGACTCTGTGGCCCCCCCCCATCGTTGCCTTTCACATTCGAAGCAGGGCGAGTTGGGACAGCAGCATCTCAAAATCGGTCCCCCGACTCCTCCCGGGGCCCAGACGCGCCAGCTGCCCGAGCTGCGCCCAGACCGTGGCGATGAGGGCCCCCCCCGAAGGCCCACAACCGTCGCCTCACTTCGCCCTCCTCGGATCCATGGCGAGGCGGAGGTCGTCCAAAACCGATCGAGGCCAGACCGCCGGTCCTTCGGTCGACCGGGCACCGCGCCGAGGTCAGCGGCAGCACGTGGCGCTGCCTCGACGCCCTCGAAGGCCCCGAGAGCGGCGGCGATGGCGAGAAGGGTGCGGCCACAGGAAAGGTCGGGCAGGGCAAGAAGGAGAAAGGATTTGCCACGACGAGCACTATCGGCCTCCACAGCTCACACTCCAGCTGGCATTGCGAAACAACCCGCACTGCCGCCACAATCGTGAGAGCCGGCGGGTCACTGAAGCGTCAGTTCTGCATGCTGGGGAGGAGTAAGAGGAGGAGCAGGGGGCAAGGAGCAAGGGGGCAGGGCCAGAATGAGAAAGGAAGGAGTGTGTGGCCATCGGGGAAGACCTCCTTGCACGCACCACCGCGGGGGGGGGGGCATCCCGCACCGGACGGAGGAACGCGACAGCGGGGAGGGCGAGGAGGATGACGTGGACACCGACAGCTGCCGGCACACTCACCTACAGAACAGCGAGAAAGCATGGCCACACGCGGCCGCTGACTGCGGGCCCTGTCAAGCAGGTCCCATGCGGCGCTTCACCGTCTCTTCTTCAATCTCTGCATCCTCAGGAGAATCTGTGCGGACCACACAAACGAGGCCGAGGGCGGGGGCGGGCCAGGAGGGCGAAGACGACGAGGACGGCGGCGACGACCACCGCGGCGGCTCCTCCTGGACCGCGGCCAGGTCGCCCTCGGCCTCGACGAGACGCAGGCGCCACGCGTCTCCCGCCTGGGCCCCGGCGCGAGGGGGCCCGCGGGGCTTTCTGAGGTGGGTGTGATGTATGTGTTGGTGACTCGGTCTGCGTACGCGTCTGTTGTGTACGTGTATGATGTATGTATATATGTGTATATATATATGTGTGTGTGTGTGTGTCTGTGTGTGTGTGTGCGGCTGTACGTGGACGTGTGTCTCAATGTGGGTGCAGTATCTAGGTTGCGTGCGTCTCGTGCGTGTATAATGCAATGCACACGCCAAAATTATACTAGCGTTGCCTCGTCTACGTGTTCTCCCGTTCTTGCCTGCGCGTGTTGCGCATGTGGATTGTGTGTATGTGACGTGTTGTGCGTGCGCGGCTGCATGCTGCCTGGTCCGTGTCTGATGCGCATGTGTTGCGCGCAGGTGAGAGGAGGAAGGAAGACGAGGAGAGGTGAGAGGAGGTGTGCGTGTGAGACGCGGGTGGCAAGAAAGCCAGAACCCCACGGAACCTGTTTGGGGAATCGAAAACGCACGCTTGGCGCCACACTTTCGCCGAAACGTGGGCCAGCATGTGGAGCCAACACGCAACGTGATTCGACCCGCCGTTGAAAGCAAGGCACGTACTGCGCACCTGCCCGAGCGCATCACGGCAGCTATGCCTCGGGAGGGCCCCCCCAGGGCCGCGAGAGCCGGGGGGATCGCGAGGACCCGCGGGGCGCCTCGGAACCCGCGGAGGTCTCCCACGGCAGCCCAGCCTTTGCGCGCGCTCGCGTGCCTTGGGGCCGCTGGAGCTGGTAGTTAGCGAGCCCTCTTCCGCCGCCCCCCCTCCTCCTCCTCCTCCTCTTCATCCTCCTCCTCCTCCTCCTCCTCCTTTCCCTCTCTGCTTCTCCTGCTTTTCTTCCTGCTCCTCCTCCTGCCTCATCCTCCTGATTCCGACCACCTTTCCTCCACTCTTCCTCCTTCCTCCTGCCCGATCGGTTCCACATCTTCGTCGATGTGGTCCTCCTCCTCCTCCTCCTCCTCCGCCTCTTCCTCCTCCTCATCCTCCTCGTTCTCCTCCATTGTCCTCGCCCGTTGCCCGAGTCCTCCTCGCGTGCGTTGCCCAATATGAGTACTACTCCCCCATGGACGTGTTGAGAGCAGCGCGCCCTCTCTCCGTGAAAGTTAACTCACACGCCACACTTCAACATGCGATTGTGTGTCTTGTGTTGCACGTGTTGTTGCTTGCAAACGTAATGTGTTCGGTGCCACCTTTGTGTTCCCGCTGCAGCGCGGGCCTCTTCTTAGGATCGGCGCCTTGCTCCCGTATTTCAGAAGTGCACTCTCGCTTCAACGCAGGCTTGGTGCCTTGAAACGTATCCTTCCTCATCTTTGTCTCTCCATTCCTTTCTTTCCTTTTCTCCGCCTTCCCACCATCCTCCTGCTCTTCCCACACCTTCCGTTCCTGCTCCTGTTCCTGCTGCAGTTGTTTCTCCTCGTCCTCCGTCTTCCTTTTCCCCTTCCTCCTCCTCCTCCTCCTCCTCCTCCTCCTTCTACTCCTCCTTCTACTCCTCCTCCTGCTCATCAGCCACCTCCTCCAGTGTACGCGGCTTCGATTTTCTGGCTGCGCGTATCGCGATGGCCCGCGTCATTTTAAAGGTTCCAGGTCCACTATAAGCACCCGTCAGCAGGTAGAGGATACAAGCAGCGCAAGGGGAAGGGATGGGTGGGAGGGGCAGGCTGTCAGGGACGGCCTGGGGGCGCTTAGCATGTTCCCATCCTCTGCCGTCCTCCCGCTCGTCCCCGTCCTCCCTCCCGCCCCCTCGCCTTCACAGCCTCCTCCCTCCATTCTGGCAGCTCGCCCCTTTCCCCCCCATGCCCTGCATCAGCCCGCCAGCCTCTTGCGGGCGGGCCCCTTGTCGGCCGTGCGCGTCGCGCTTCCGCGCCCCGACCGTTCCCCGAGCCGCCTGCTGGAGAGCAACCCGAAACCAGAGAGCCACCAGAAGGGCCCACACCTCCGAAGGCACCCCCACCCGCCCTTTCGTTCCGCACGGTCCGGAACGTGCCCGTCTGTGGCGGAGGCCGTGCACCGGAAATGAGGCAGGTTTGGGACAGCACAAAAAAAAAAGGCGGCGCCCCTCCTCTGGAGGAGCTTCGACCCAGCTCCACTCGAGGGAGGGAGAATGGAGGGATAACCTGTGACTCAAGCCAGCTTCGTATGCCGCCCTGGTCAGAGGCCCCTCCCCTCCCCTGCCCGAGCAACCGACGCTCCCCCCGACGCCCCGCGGGGGGCTGCCGAGGGCCCTCGCGAGGGCCCCTCCTGAAAGGCCGCCCAAACATCCGACCATGCGCCTCGTCCCATGCGCGGCCCGCAGAGGTCCCGATCCATTCCCGGGGCCGTGCTCCCCCCCCAGGATCCCTGGTGGATTGGGGGGGTGTTCCAGGTGCCCCTGGCAGAAGGTACCACCCCCCCAGCTTCCCTCGATTCTGGGGCCCCTATGGGGCCCCCTGGGGCCTCGCGAGGGGTGGTCTGGAGGCCGTGGGGGCCTCCTTGGAAATCGTGGGGGGAACCTTGCGGAGGGCGAAACAAGGGGTCTACAACAGGTGGTCTGCAATGGGGGCTGAATGGCCCAACTATGCTCAATATATCGCTCATGCATATGATCGGGTATGATTGACATCCAATGGTCGCGGTCATGGAGGGCCAATCGCTCGCGCCCGCGCGTTACCCGCGCGGGCAAACGCGCCGTCCATCCACGATCGTTCATGCGCGCGGGCGTTCTTGCATATCGTGCGTGGGGCGGCGAAGAGGAGTGCAAGTGTGTCTTGATTGTGCGATTGATGATCGCGTATGTTCCCAATCGATGACTTGTCGACCCCTAAAAAGATTTGGAACGGGTCCCGCGATTCTCCCAAAATGTGGATTTACATACACTTTTGTCCCAAAATGTGAATTCACATTTCCCTCTTCCCAATATGTGACTTCACATTCTGGCCACTTCATACCGACTCCTATACCAAATTCCCACATGTGGATTCACATTGTTCCCCAAACAGCTTGCTGAACGGGGTGCTGTTGTGATAGAAGCTAACTCCGGCCGAGGGAAAGGGGAGCAGAGACATCCTCACAAAAATCTGATGGTCCGGGCCGTTCCGCTTGAGACATCCTCACAACTCTCGTTTCTGAGTTGGCCGGGATAGGCCGTTTCGCCTGAGACATCTTCGAACAACTGCGCTCCGGGACGCCGCGCGAGAGGTGGTCCAGGCCGTTTCGCTTGAGACATGCTCGAAACTCTGACCTCCGAGATGCCGTGCGAGAGGTGGTCCAGCCCGTTTCGCCTGAGACATCCTCGCAACTCCGGGCTCCGAGATGACGCTTGCGAGGTGGTTCGGCCCGTTTCGCCTGAGACATCCTCGCAACTCTGGGCCCCGAGGTGCCGCTTGCGAGGTGGTCCGGCGCGTTTCGCCTGAGACATCCTCGCAACTCTGGGCCCCAAGATGACGCTTGCAAGGTGGTCCGGCCTGTTTCGCCTGAGACATCCTCGCAACTCTGGGCCCTGAGTTACAGCGCAAGAGGTGGTCCGGCGCGTTTCGCCTGAGACATCCTCGCAACTCTGGGCTCCGAGATGCCGCTTGCGAAGTGGTCCGGCGCGTTTCGCCTGAGACATCCTCGCAACTCTGGGCCCCGAGGTGCAGCGCAAGAGGTGGTCTGGCCCGTTTCGCCTGAGGCACCCTCGCGCGTGAGTCATCCTCGCAACTCTGGGCTCCGAGATGCCGCTTGCGAGATGGTCCGGCCCGTTTCGCCTGAGACATCCTCGCAACTCTGAGCCCCGAGGTGCCGCGCAAGGTGGTCCGGCCCGTTCCGCCTGAGTCATCCTCGCAACTCTGGGCTCCGAGATGCAGCGCAAGAGGTGGTCCATCCCGTTTCGCCTGAAACATCCTCGCAACTCTGGGCTCCGAAATGCCGCTTGCGAGGTGGTCCGTCCCGTTTCGCCTGAGACATCCTCGCAACTCCGGGCTCCGAGATGACGCTTGCGAGGTGGTCCAGCCCGTTTCGCCTGAGACATCCTCGCAACTCTGGGCTCCGAGGTGCAGCGCAAGAGGTGGTCCGGCCTGTTTCGCCTGGGACGTCCTCGCAACTCTGGATCCCGAGCGCAAGAGGTGGTCCGGCCCGTTTCGCATGAGACATCCTCGCAACTCTGGGCCCCGAGATGCCGCCTGCGAGGTGGTCCGGCCCGTTTCGCCTGAGACGTCCTCGCAACTCTGGGCACCGAGATGCCGCTTGCGAGGTGGTCCGGTTCGTTTCGCCTGAGACATCCTCGCAACTCTAGGCCCTGAGGTGCAGCGCAAGAGGTGATCCGGCCTATTTCGCCTGAAGCACCTCGCAACTCTGAGCTCCGAGATGCCGCTTGCGAGGTGGTCCGGCCTGTTTCGCCTGAGACATCCTCGCAGCTCTGAGCCCCGAGGTGCAGCGCAAGAGGTGGTTCGGCCTTTTTCGCGTGAGTCATCCTCGCAACTCTGGGCTCCGAGATGCCGCTTGCGAGATGGTCCGGCCCGTTTCGCCTGAGACATCCTCGCAACTCTGGGCACCGAGATGCCGCTTGCGAGGTGTTCCGGCCGGTTTCGCCTGAGACACCCTCGCAACCCTGAGCCTCGAGATGCCGCGCGAGAGGTGGTCCGGCCTGTTTCGCCTGAGACATCCTCGCAACTCTGAGCCCCGAGGCGCAGCGCAAGAGGTGGTCTGGCCCGTTTCGCGTGAGTCATCCTCGCAACTCTGGGCTCCGAGATGCCGCTTGCGAGATGGTCCGGCGCGTTTCGCCTGAGACATCCTCGCAACTCTGGGCACCGAGGTGCAGCGCAAGCCTGGCCCGTTCCGCCTGAGATATCCTCGCAGCTCTGGGCTCCGAAATGCAGCGCAAGAGGTGGTCCGGCGCGTTTCGCCTGAGACATCCTCGCAACTCTGGGCTCCGAGCTGCCGCGCGAGAGGTGTTCCAGCACGCGTTGCCTCGCACATGCTCCAAACTCTGACCTCCGAGATGCCGCTCGGGAGGAAGAGGTGGTGTAGGAGGAAGAGGACTAGGAGGAGATGGACGGGAGGAGGAGGAGGAGGAGGAGGAGGAGGAGGGGGAGGAGGAGGAGGAGGAGGGTGAGGGAGCAGGCAGGAGGAGGAGGAGGAGGAGGAGGAGGAGGAGGAGGAGGACGAGGACGAGGACGAGGACGAGGGGGAGGAGGAGGGATGAGGAATGGAGTTGCATGAAAGGGCTCAACGGGAAGCGAGAGGTAGAACGGCCCGTTTCGCTTGGGGCATCCTTCCAACACTGAGCTCCGAAATGCCGCACGCGAGGTGTTCCAGCCCGTTTCTCCCGAGCCATCCTCACAATGCGAAACTCCGAGATGCCGCCATGCGCGCCCTGCCTTCCGCCCTTCTCAGACATCCGACGTCGCGATTTTTGTTTCGTGACGTGCGCCCGCGGACCTCTCGATCCGTCAGGGTTCTTCGAGATACTGCGCACGAGATGGTGTGGCCCGTTCTGCCTGAAACCTCTCCCATTCCTCCCACCTCCCTCCCCTTGCCTCCCGCCTGCCTCCTTTTTCCCTCCCTCCTCCTCGCGCCTCTCGCCTTTCGCTGCTGTGCCTCTGCCTCCGCCTCCCTGTCGCCGTCATTTTGATGCCTCAGCATCCGCCAGGCGCGCCTTGCCTTCCGCCATCCCCAGACATCCGACGTCCAGATGTTTGTTTCGAGACGTGCGCCCGCGGACCTCTCGATCTTATCCCAGGGACTGCTTTTTCGTTAGGGTTCTTTCTTACGACTTCCTCGGCGCCCCTCGCGGCCCCCCCATACATCCGACGTCGCGACGTTTCTTTTGAGACGGGCGCCCGCGGACTTCCCGATCTCATCCCAGCGGTTTTTTTCGTCCAGGTTCTTTCTTATGACCCCCGCGACGCCCCTCGCGGGCCTTCAGAGACTTTTCCCCCCTGTTCTCGCCGCGCTCTGCGCGCGCTAAGAACTTTCGCGCGGCGACGGTCGTCGTGCCGCGGAACGCGCGCTGGCGAACCTCGCAAATGAGGGGGCCCATCTGGTGCATCTTGTAACGCCCCTCCTCCCAGATCTCGCGCACTTCCCCGCTGCGATTCAGAGCGTTGCGGACCCGCTCCAAAGCTGCAGCGTTGAACTTCCGGCCCCCGTTCTGGACCCCAGGCCCAAAGTCGGTCGGGAACTCCACGGAGTCCTCGCCAACGGCTGAGGCGAAGTCGGAGAGGATCAGGAGACGCGCGAAAGGCCCGCAGGAGAAGAAACGCCGCAAGACAGAGTCCTTCTAGTTGACCTGTAATTACGGCAGGTTCTTGTCGCGTCGACGCGGCGGAGACATCAGTGCGGGCGCGCAAGGTTGAAGGCCAATGGTTGCACGATGCGGGCACCATTGTGCACGATCGTTCAAGGTTCAAGGATCCACGCGGTGCCAGAAACCATCGCAAAAGTCGTCGTAGCACGAACCTGCCGGCACATGTTAAAGTGAACTCATCGGCCCCAGCCTTGTTCGTGCACTCGTCGCACCACAGCCCGTGCTTCCGCTCAGCCACCTCGTCCTTGGCGGCACGCCCGTGCACTTGGCATGGCCTAGATGCTCGCCTCACTGGCTCCGCAAGGAGTGTTCTTAATGTACCCTCCGCTTGCCGTGCAGATGGCACGGCACTTGAGCGACTCATATATGAACGAACGCAGCGAGTCTTGCGACTCCGCCACGTCCGCCCTGCCGGAACATCCTGCGAGCTGTCGAAAGACACTCGGGTCGACATGGAGTCCCGCCGTGAGCTGTGCGAACATCTTGTCGTCCCTCTTCTTGGCAGTGGCCCAGCGATTCCGAGGACTTGAATGGCGAGTTTCACCGCCTGCGTCACAATAGGAACCTCGGTGGCCATCATTATGCGCCCCAGCTCCATCGCCAGGACTTCCGTGGTACGACCGTGCGTGCGGCTTCGCCGCACAGCCTTCGTGTACAGACATGCGCAGCCCCATGCGCCTTCGAGAAATACGTTTATCTTTTCTTTACATGCATCCCGCTTGTCGGCGGTTGACCCGCCTGCCCCCATTCCAGTTAGCATGGGGGGGGCAGTCGCTGCAGCAGTATTGAACCGTCGCTGCGGCGGTCTTCAACGAGGCCTCCGACCAAGACCTCCCTCCAGGGCAACAAGGATGACCATCATTACATGCACCCCCCGCTTCCTTGCCCTCCCCCGTTTCCTCTTACAGTTGCTTCCGGTTTCACAGCATGGCGGTGGAGCCTCTGACACTGCCGACCCGACAATTTACTCGTCGACCAGGTGCGAAGGAAGGAGGAGGGAAGAGGGAAGCATTACGACACCCTCAAGCGCTGGCTTCATGAGAGGCATGCATCACACAAACTGTTGCGAAACATTCCAATGTGCAAACATCATGCTCTCGTGTTTTAATATATCATGCCAGCCCACACTGGACGGGCACGCAATCGACTTTGGAAAACAAAATGAATATAAACATCCTGTTTGGGGATACTGCACTCCGGCCATAATTTTTCCAAGATGCGAATTCACATTTCCCATGCTCCCAAAATGTGAATTCACATGTTGCTTTTCCCCACAATGTGAATTCACATGTTGCCCTGGCCCTCAAGATCCCCATAATTGAGGCGCAGCGTTCCGCATGTCAGACTCGCTGGACAGATTTTGACACTTATCTCGCCGCCTTCGTTTATTCCAAACTCCTCTTCTTGCACCCTCAGCGCACGGTGCCTTCGTCGCCTATCCCCAGCCCCCCGCCCCCTTACTTCGCCCACCCTCAAGTCTCGCGCAGGGGCGCAGGCGGGGAGCTCTAATTGGTTCCCCCGCCGAGCACAGCAATCGAGGATGCGTCGCATACGCATGGCCCATAGAGCCACCATTGCCGGGACCCTGCGCCCGACCCCCACGTTCACACTCCAACCCTTGGGCCACGGGGCACTTCTAGCAGCACCCGGTTGATGGCCACGGGGGCCGACAGCGAGCCCCAGACGCCGACCCCCTCAAAAACGCGGGGGGCGGACAAGAGCCGCACCGTCGGAGACCTGGGTCGCCCGAAGGCCTCGGAGAGGCGCCCCCCCTACCCCCAAGAGCCCCCTCGCCCCCAGACCCCCGACGTCGTGATTTTCGCGCAACGTCGACCCCCCGAGGTCTGGACCATTTCCCCGGAACGGGCTTTTCATCCTGTGTCTTTTGCTGACGGCCCCGAAGCCCGGGAAGGGCCCCCGGAGGCCGAACATAGCCAGGAAAAAACCTCTCGCGAGGGTCCCCGGAGGCCGAACATAGCCAAGAAAAAACATAGCCCCGAGAAGCCCCTCGAGAGGCACCCCGCGAGAAGCCGCCCGAGCAGCCGGTCCATCGCCCCCGGGCGAGGGCTTGCCGTTGGGGGCCCACCTCGGCGAGCTGACGCTCGGCGCCCTCGCGCTCGGCGTGGAGGGCGCGGCGCGTCGCCTCGAGGTCCGCCTCGCGCTCTCGGGGGGGGGGAGGGGGAGGGGGGGGGGCTCATCCCCGCTCTGCCCTTCTCCTCCTCCACCTCCTCCCCCTTTTTCTCCTCCTTTTTCTCCTCCTTTTTCTCCTCCTCCTCCTCCTGCTCCTTCTCCTCCTCCTCCTCCCCCCCTCCTCCTCCTCCTCCTCCTCCTCCTCCTCATCATCATCATCATCAGCAGCAGCAGCATCATCATCATCAGCAGCATCATCATCATCAGCGTCAGCAGCATCAGAATCAGCATCCTCATCAGTATCGGCATCAGGATCCTCATCATCATCCTTATCAGCATCAGCATGATCCCCAGCTCCATCCATCAAGAGCACCCAGCATCATCATCATCATCATCATCATCATCATCATCATCATCATCATCATCATCAGTATCATCATCATCATCATCATCATCATCATCGTCATCAGCATCATCATCAGCATCATCATCATCATCATCATCATCATGATCCTCCTCCTCCTCCTCCTCCTGCTCCTTCTCCTCTTCCTCCTCCCCCCCTCCTCCTCCTCCTCATCATCATCATCAGCAGCATCATCATCATCATCAGCGTCAACAGCATCATAATCAGCATCCCCATCAGCATCGGCATCAGGATCCTCATCAACCCTTATGTCATCATCATCATGTCATCATCATCATCATCATCATCATCATCATCATCATCATCATAACCAGCATCATCATCAGCATCCGAAATAGCATCCCCAGCATCATCGGCATCAGCATCATCAGCAGCAGCATCACCACCCACCAGCATCATCTGCATCATCGACACCAGTAACTTCATCTTCTTCATCATTATGATCGTCAGCATCATCACCGCCACCATCGTCATCAGCATCATCAGCCTTGTTCTCCCCATCAGCACCAGCATCATCACTATTACCTTCCTCAATATCAGCATCATCAGTATCAGCATCATCGTTATCATCAGTATCATCACCACCACCACCCTCATCACCACCATCAGCGCCAGCATCAGCATCACCATCATCACTAATCTCAACAACAACATCCTCAGCAATCGCTTCGTCTTCCTCAGCAATGCCAGCATCTTCATCATCACCATCATCAGCAGCATCAAACTCAACAACCTAACCACTACGATCGTCATCATCATCAGCATAATCAGCATCCTCATCATCATCATATTCATCATCATCATCACCACCACCATCTTCACCATCTTCACCATCGTCATCATCACAATCATCAGCATCGTCGTCGTCATCACCATCATCACCATCATCAACAGCAACCTCCTCCTCATTAGCAGCATCATCATCAGCATCAGCATCAGCATCAACATCACCACCATCATCACAATCATCAGCAACACCATCAGCAACACCATCAGCATCGTGTGAGCGCACACCCAGAGGCCTGCTAGCTGGGGTCGGAGGATCGCGACGCATCGCCGACGCATCGCCGATGCACTGGCGATACATCGGCGCCGTCAGCGTGGAGAAAATCGGGCCCCTCCATCGAGCCGCATCGGCGATGCTTTGGCGGTGCAGCGCGATCCTCCGGCGCCCTCGACCCTGACCGCATTTGGGAGGCCTAGAGCACCAACGGTCGGCCCGGCCCTGCCTCGGCCCGGGCGGCGGCGTCGGAGCGCACGGCGGCCAGGCGCTCGAGCTCCTCGGCGCGGGCAGCGTGCGGGACGCACGCCCTCCAGCCTCCTCCCCCTCCCGTCCTCGTCCTGCTCCAGCTGGGCGCTAGGCGCTGAGGGCATGAGGCCCATGGTTGGAGCTGCCACGTCTGATCCAGCTCCTCCCCTGCCTCCGCCATCTCCCTGGCCCTGATGAGGACAGCTCCTCCCAGAACGGTCAGGTGGCCTACCTGGGACCCTCGGTGGCCTCCCCTCCACCTCGGCCCTCCTCCTCGTCCATCCTCGTTCTCATCCTTCTCCTCTTCCTCCTCCTCCTCCTTTTCCTCCTCCTTTTCCTCCTCCTCCTCCTTTTCCTCCTTTCCTCCTCCTCCTCCTCCTCCTCCTTTCCCTCCTCCTCTCCCTCCTCCTCCTCCTCCTCCTCCTGCTCCTCTTCCTCCCCCCCTCCCCCTTCTCCTCCCCCTCCTCCTCCTCCTCCTCCTCCTCCGCCTCCTCCTCCTCCCCCTCCCCCTACGACTCCTCCTCGAACCTCCTCCTCGGTCTTCTCCTCGGCCTTCTCCTCGGCTTCATCCTCGGCCCCGGCACCCTCCTCCGCGTGCTCGGCCCCGAGCCGGGTCAGCTCGTCCGCGTGCTCCTGCTGCATCTGCGCCAGCGCCCTCTCCTGGTGCGTCCGCGCCTGCCGCGCGCGCGTTCGCGCCCGTGAGCCAGCCCCCTGGGCACCTCTGGAGGCCTGCGGAGGCCTCCGCCGGGCGTTGCTCCGTCGTCCTCGCCCTCCTCGTGCTCCTCGGTGCTCGTCCTCCTCTGCTCCCCGCTGGGGCGACCGCTCCCGTCGCTCGCCACGGCCCTGGGCGGGCGAGCGGCCGCCCCGTCCCTGGCCATCGCTCGGACGTCCATTCCCTGTGCTTTTTTGTCGGTTCCGTGCGTGGTTTTTTTTCGCAGGAGGCTCCTCAGGAGGCTCCTTCACGATCCCCGCCGGGAAGAAGCGCACACGCCCGAGCGATGCCAAGGTCCTGCTCGCGCGGTGGGCGCCGCCTCCGTGCGCTCCGCCCCGCCCGCCCCTCCCCTCCCCTCCCGCGCCCGCCGTCTTCGCGCGCGCGTCCGAGGCGGCGGGCAGGGAGCGCGTGCCTCCGAGAGGCCGAGGAATCCCGGGGGCAGGCCAGCGCAGAACACCGGAGCGCGAAGCCGGATGAGCGCGAAGCCGGATGCTGCGATCGAGACGTAGCGGGTCGGCGGAGGTCGGCAGCCGAGTCGAGAAGAGTGCGGATCGGCGGAGATCGACGGGCCAGTGAGGCCTCCATCGAGGCACCGAAGTCTCCCGCTCCTGCCGCCAACAAGTCTACATGGGGGAGAAGGGGGGGGGGGGGGGGGGGGGGGGCAAATACACCCACTCCACTGCCCACATCTTTCGGATACGTGGAGTAGGGCGGAGGCCAAGACCCGGAGGCTTGCACTGGTCTGCGGTTTGCCAGGCTCCCCCCCCGCTACCCACTCGGGGAGGAGGGAGGCGAGCACGTGGGACTCGCCGCATTGGTTTGCGTTTCACTGGGACCTCGTCGCCAGCCGCAGCCGCTGCTGCATGCCGCTTCCCAGCGCTGCCCCCCATTCCGACGTGCTCTTCCATCGTCTCGCTCCGAATAGGAGGGCTGGACATGAATAGCAGTGAGCGTAAAAGTAAAGATACTACGAAGAAGAGCAGGAGAAGGAGACGATGACGACGAGGACCATAAGACGAAGGCAGGACGAGAACAAAACCGGATGATAATGCAGGCAACGACGACAACTAGGATGTTACTCAGACTGGACCGTGCGTAGCAATATTCGACCAGAGCTGGATCGACCGTAGTGGGAACCAAGTAGGGCTGGAGCCAGCTACCAAATAATTCCAGTTGATGTGTATCAAACCTTAGCAGGATTCAAATATGGCCGGATCCAGCTCGTAGTGAAATCCGAATCAACTTGTATCGAGCCCGATTGTGGTGCTACTGAAGTTTGATCCAACCATAGCAAGATCCCATCAGATCTGGATCGAGCCCTAAAGAGATTTGATTAAGATTGGCTCCGCCTGTAATACGATTCTATCCAAGCTTTATCGAATCCGAATACGCAAAGTTCGATCCATCTATAGTGAGATTATATGACAGTTTGATCGAGAACGAATCGGGTTCTATTGAGGGGACGGGGAAGGGAGGGGGAAACCGAACCGCCAGGCCACCCCCCCCCCATTGAAATGCAAAGAGGGCGGTTCGAACCAAAGGGGGGGGGGCCCACAAGAGGAGGGCAGGGAGTTCGAACCAGGGCCCCCCCCCTCCCGCCCCTGAATTACAGCGAGGGGGTTCGAACCCACCCCCGCCCTTCCCTTCCCAATAGCAACCCACGACGGCGAACACCAGCGCTGGTATGCTCCGTCGAGCAACGACGACGACGACGATCGAGCCTTGGTCTGACGCGTTTAAAACCGGATCGAGCCCTAGTACGGGCTCATTCAAGCTAGGTCGACCCCTCGCAGGAATCAAGTCGAGCGAGACCCAGCAAGGATAGGATTGAATTTGGTATGGATCGAGCTTTGAGACAATTCGAGTAGAGCTGGTCAAGCTCCCATTGGGCCGTAGTAGAAATGGATCGAACCCGACTGAGACGCTTTTGAATCTGGATCCAGATACTGTAATATTCTACTGGAGCAGGATCGAGCCCTAGTACTATGAATCAAGTAGGGTTGGATCCACCTAGAAAAAGATTATATTGGAGTTGGATCGAACCCGACTAGGATGGCATTAAAGGTCGTTCCAAATATCTAAACGCAACGTCTCACTCAATGGATATCGCGCTTCATTCAATTCATAATGATATCGGTCGAGTGAAATCAGCTGTGATACAAATGAAGACGATCGGTAGCGCAACCTATCTCGCTCGATCGATCTCACTGTCGACCCCGCGATCGATTTCACAATCATTGTCACGATCCTTCTTAACGTCGCTCTTACAATCGGACAACGCGCCACGGGACACCACGGGGCATCGCGGGACACCGCGGGACACCACGGGACACCATCGGGACACCGCGGTAGGACACCCCTGGCTTCCGCCCGCCAATCGGGGGTGCGGTTTGCTGCCCTGGCGGCGCCCTGGCCCAAAGTGGGCTCACTCCCCTTCGCCCGCCCGCGCAGCCTCGCCTCGCCCGCGCGCGAAACGCGGACACGAAACGGGAACTGTTCTCCCGGTTGGGGGGCTTCTCGTCTCACCATGCCTCGCTCTTCGATTGTAAGATTGCATTGAAGCTTGATCTAACTGGATTCGAGCCCCCCATGGACAGGGTCACCCCCCCTGGTTCGATCACCCCCACCTTGAGGCGGGGGAGGGGGCCAATTAAAAAGGCCCGTGTCCGAAGGTGGGGGCGGGTGAGCCGTTCGTTGGGCGTTCCAACTGCTTTATAGCCCCTCCGCCATTTCCGACGCGTCCAGGGATTACCGTCCAAACAAGCGTCCTCGAAACGCCCCTCTTATCATAACAAATCAGTCTCAGCCAAAAGTGTTATAAGAACATGCCGCGCAGACCACGAAACAAGTTCCTTGAACATCATATGGTGAGCCTGTAGGCGAGCGAAGACGCTTCGCCATTGCTTGGACCCACGTCGCTCTTTTTGACCAGCGCAAAGAGAAGTCGCCCCGTGGCTAAGGAGGAAGAGGGGAGCAGCAGGGGCGGCGGTGGACGATGGCAGCGCCTCCAAGACGTGCTCAACGCTGGTAAACTCTCGTGCGAAAGCCACCGGAGCCTGTACCAAAGCACGGGGTATCCCAGGGCAACTGGAAAACGAGCTGACCAGACCATGGGGCGACGCACCTGCGGCGCCGTTCTCGAGCTGCGGCACGGTTGGCTGCAACTCTGGCCAACTGGTCAGCTGCGAGGACGGGGGGCAGAAGCGGGGGAGGGGGAGGTGACGAAGGAGGCGAGGCAGGGACGAAAGAGGAGGAGAGCAGCAGGGGAGGGAGGAGAGGCAGAGAAGCAGGCGGCTGCCAAAGCAAGCAGCGCAAGCGCGGCCAGGCCGGCACCGCCCGCGCGCCCCGGCCTGGCGGGGCGCGCGCTCCCACTGCTCGACCTACGCCGCAAACCCTGCAGAAACCGAAAGCAACCGCCCCGTTGCCAAGACCGCGAGGGCGCGCGCCACCTCCGCGAAGAGGCCACGCCCGCCGCGGCGCGACGATCAAAGAATGGTCTTACGCGAGATGGCACGGCGACCTTACGCGGTGGCTTACGCGGGTCGCCAGCGCGGCACGCTACTTTGGAGACTAGGGCGCTTACGTGCGACCTTACGCGGGCAGCTTACCCGCGAACGTCGGCGCCGACGACCCCGTTGTTTGGCGCCGCTCACCTGGGAAGGATTGGATGGGGATGTGGCCCACTGGAAGCCGCGCCCTGTTCGAGCGGTGGGGGGACCGCACTCCCTTTCCCTCGCGCTGCGGCTCCACCTCGATGTCTCGGGGAACAAGCAGTGACATAGGCATATAAACTTTCGGAGGCCCGCTCGGGTGTCTCGGATCGGCGCTGAGGTCCACCTGGCGGCGCGTCCAGCGCCGCCCCTGGCGCGCTCCGCGCGCCAGGAAGGGTGTTCCAGCGCCGATCCAAGAGACCCGCGCGGACCTCCCAAAGTGAACGGTTACGTCATCTGCGGCTCCTGGAGGACAAGGTAGTTTTCCCTTGCACTTGCGCTGCTGCTCCAGCCTGCTGTCGTCCTTCGGCGGCGAGCAGAAAGGGGTAGGGGGAGGGGGGAAAATTTCTTCGAAGGATGCTGCTTCTCAGAAGGTGCCGGCCTTACATCCATAGACAAGACCCGCGTCCTCTAAGAAGTAGGGGTGCTTCTAAGCAGCCTTCCCCCCTCCCCCCACGTACCCTCCTCTGCGCGTGGCCGAGTCATCGCCGCCGTCGCCACCGCGCCGCCACCGTTGGCGGCCCCGCGCGGTGACCCCATCAAGGACGATGGAGCCCGCACGGCCAGGGGCCGGTCCTGCAGAGGGCAGCGGCGAGACACAGCTGCCCGCAGAGCCTGCCCTTGGGGTCCTCAGTTCGACTCCCCCTCCTCCTCCTCCTCCTCCTCCCTCCTTCCTCCTCCTCCTCCTCCTCCTCCCTCTCCCTCCTCCTCCTCCTCCTCCTCCTCCTCCTCCTCCTCCTCCTCCTCCTCCCTCCTCCTCCTCCTCCTCCTCCTCCTCCTCGCCTCCTCCTCCTCCTCCTCCTCCTCCTCCTCCTCCTCCTCCTCCTCCTCCTCCTCCTCCTCCTCCTCCTCCTCCTCCCTCCTCCTCCTTCCTTCTCCTCCTCCTCCTCTTCCTCCTCCTCCTCCTCCTCCGCCTCCTCCTCCCCTCCTCCTCCCTCCTCCTCCTCCTCCTCCTCCTCCTCCTCCCTCCTCCTCCTCCTCCTCCTCCTCCTCCTCCTCCTCCTCCTCCTCCTCCTCCTCCTCCTAGAGCGCGTGGGAATGCCGTGGCTCGGACACTGCCCGTCCATTTGCACGTCGGCTGGCCACGCCTCCTGTTTAGGATAGACGAGCAGCCACCGCTTTGGCACTCGCTGGACGGTGGGTCGCTGGACGGAGGGGGAGGACGGGCGCGACTGTTTCACGGCGCGGGCCTGCCCCATGGGGTGGGCTGTCCTGACCCTGGGGCCGGCAGAACGGAACGCGGAGGTCCCAGGCATAGGTCGGGCGGATAAAGAAAACTAATTACGCATGCAAGCAAATAGCCAATACATCCAAAGAACACGAAAAACCGTCACCAGACTAATATTAAAACTGTTCTCGAATTTTCCTCCTGCAGAGGGACATGCCCGACTTAACCCCAGGCTGAAGGAATGTCCACACCGTGATTCGCCTGCGACGGGCCGAGGCCGGGATCCCCAGGAGGTCTCCCCAGAGGTCTGCGGAGGCCCCGGAGGACCTTAAAAGCCCCCACCCCACCCACAGGGCCAAAGGCGTTCAGAATACGAGTATTGGCGGCGAGCGAGGGGAAAAGTGAGAAGGAGAAAGCCTTCTCAAAGGCGGCGGGACTTCTCAGAAGCCCGAGGTCTGAGAAGTTTCTCAGAAGGCCGGGGGACTTCCGAGCCTTCCGAAGGCCCGCCCCGATCTCACTTCCCCCCTGGGCGCGCCGCCTGGATTAGGGTTGGCAGGAAGCGTCCAGCGGTCTCAGGGCGACCACGCACGACGACCGACGACAACCTTGCAGGCGGCAACGACGACGGAGGACGACGAATGCGGCGGCGGTGGCGGCGGCAGAGCGCGCGCCTTGGCTGCGAGTTCCCGCTCCCGCTGAAGCTCCACCCGCACGGCGGCCAGGTCGTCCTCGGTGCGGGGGTCCGACGAGCGCGAGAAGCGCCGCAAGTGGGGCCTCTCCTGGAATACCCCAAGTGTGTATATGTGTGCGCGGGTATGTAGACGTGATGGCTATCCGTGACGAGCTCCCAGCACCCAGTACCCACTGCCGCCCTGACCAAGACAAGCCTGCCGATGGCGTGTGTTTTCGTAAGCCCTCCCTGTCGCCCCGAACCTACAACGCCGCGAACGGATGGAAGCATGGGGGGATCAGGGCGAAGGTAGACAGGGCAAGGGAGATCGGGATGTAGCGCGGGGAGGGGCAAACAGGCAGAGGGGCAAGGGGAATGGTGTGGAGGGGGAGGTCGGCGGGGCGGTGGAGCGAGAGGAAAGCCAATGGGCGGGGGCGCGGGAAGGAGGGAGAAAGTGGGGGAGAAAGATGAGGACGGGACGGGCTGCAGGCTGCAGGGCACGGCGCGAGACGAGCCAGGGGCGGGGGAGAACGGCAGGGAGCTATTTCAAAACACAGGACCCTGAGATCCGACGTAGCGACACAAACTTGCAACGTCCTGCAAAATCACGCCCGTAGCCCTGGACACCGTCTTCCTGCGTCGTTTTTCCAGCCAGGTCGATCTGCGAGGGCCCCGGGGCCCGAATAAAGGCGAAAACGCCGGGCTCGAAAAAATTGAGACGCCAGGATCTCGGGGGAGCCGGAGGCGGCGGTGCTCGACAGGGAGCTCCCTGTGTGGTCGCGAAGCGCCGTGCTGGGCGTGCCGAGGCAGAGACACGCGGAGGGCACAGGAGGGGGAGGAGGAGGCAGGAGAGGAGAGGAACGCGGGGCGCTGTCCCGCCGAAGCGAGGACCCAGCACCACAGGACGCTTGGGAGTGGAGGCGCCAGGATCTCGGGGGAGAGCCCGAGGCGGCGATGCTCGACGGGGAGCCCCCGAGGCCGCCGCGCGCCCCCTGTGGGGCGCAGCGGGGCGAGCCCCCAAGGGGGGGGGTACCCTCAGGTCGGGCATGTCGCCCTACAGGGGGGGGGTCCACGGAAAATAAAAAAGATACCCCAGCAAATACTCCCAAATTGTCAAGAATAGTTTCAAAAAATCGTCCCCCGACTATATTTTCACTACTTTGGAATGTTCCTCCCGTAGAGGGACAGGCCCGACTTCAGGGTAGTTACTCGGCGGCCGCGCGAGCTGGAGGGAGCGAGCGCGGGCAGAGCACGTGCCGAGCCCGGTGGCGTGCCAGTGCGGTGGGCCGGGGGAGCGATGCGCATCCCACCCCGCCGGTCACAGAGGCGCCCAGGGACACACAAAGAAAAATGCACACCAAGTCCCAGGATTCCCAGTAGTTTCATACCTTCTCTGGGTCTTCGTCTCCCCCCCCCCCCGCCAGTCACAGAGGCGCCCAGGGACAGGGCTGAACCGAAACGGTGTTTTCGTTTTCGTTTTGTTCTCGCTTTCCCTCGTTTTGTGTTCAATCCGCCTTTACCTCAAAGCGAAGCCGAAACGAAAGCGGTCCACGAAATCGCCAAAACACTGTTTAGGTCCAGCCCTGCCCAGGGACACACAAAGAAAAAATGCACACCAAGTCCCAGGATTCCCAGTAGTTTCATACCTTCTCTGGGTCTTCGTCTTTCCCCCCCCCCCCGCTTCCCAGGTTTTCCCATAGTTCCCGGGGAGTCCATGATTCATTGTGTCTGTGTGTTTCTTATCCCTCCCGAAGTAAAATGCAGACGGGGCTTGCAAGATGGGGGAAGGAAGGAAAAGGGAGACAGGGATGGGCAGGGGGGGGCTGATGAGGATGCGTACGAAATGAGAGGACGAAGCAGAGGATGATGATGAGCGTGGCGATGTGCATTATGGGAAAGGCGGGGATTGAGACCCCCCCGGACCCGCGCACCCCTCCCCCCGCACCCCCCGAACGCGCGACGCCCCCCCCCCGAACCCCTGCAAGCTGTGCACACCACGAGCACACCACACACCACAGCACCCGTCTTTTCCGCAACGCTTGTCCAGCAACGCAGTGCCTGTGAGCACCCGAAGCCTGTCTATAACACAAGACGCATGTTTAACAACTGCCTGTGCGCGCCACTGTGCGTGTGAGCGCCAGTGCCTGTTAGTAGCGCAATGCGCCACTTTACCTCTGAACCCCACGATGCCTAATGAGCACCACAGGGAGAGAAAGACAGAGAGAGAGCGAGAGAAAGAGAGAGAGAGAGAGAGAGAGAACGAAAGCGAGGAAGTATGTCTGACTTGCAGTGCCTTTCTGCACCGATTCATATGAGCACGGCAACGTCGGTGATGAGAACAAAGCCTATGAACCAACACTGGACCGTAATGCTTGTAATGTTTGTGAGCACATGGGTGCCGTGCGGTGAAATCGATCGAGAGTAACTTCCAGCGTCGCTGCTGTCGCATGCGCTGACGAAGGGGATATGGTCCAAGGAACATGCGCGAGAGAGGGGCACGGGTGAAGGAACCGAAGGGGTGGGCAGGGAAGGCATGGGAAGGGCGTGGCGGGGGGAGTAGGTGAAGATGGTGGATGGGGAGGGCCACAGGATTGGAGAGGGGTCGGGGGGAGGGAGGTGGCAGAAAACAGCAGCAGGCAAAACGTCGCCTTGGCAAATGGGGCGTAACATTGCGTGTGAACACCTCAAGGCCCGTGGGCACTGCGGTAGTGTTGAGCACGCTGTCTTACCTGTGAGCACCACGGGCGGTGTGAGCACCACGGGGCGACGTACTGCTGGAAATGATGTGGGCCTGGGGGAACTAGCGAAACAAGGACGGCAAATGATGCGGAGTCCTCCAACATTGGGTCCGAGTAATGAGATGGGGTCGAATGATCGCGCCGCATCGCCAACGCATCGCTGGCGCTTCGGCTATGCAACGGCGACGTCCGCGACGCATCGGAGCCGTCGGCGTAAAGAGCATCAGGCACCACATCAAGCCGCATCGTCGATGCAGATGCGGCGCCATCCTCCGACCCCGTCTGCTCGGAGCCCTTCGGCGGGGAAACCAGGTACCGATACCGCTACAGCCCGGGCCACCCCAGGGTGCGTCCTGACCAAGACTTCGAGGCGAATCCAGCGGTGGCGGCGAGGGCCTCCGAGGAGGCCCAAGAAGGGGAAAACGGGGGAAGGGCAGAGGCAGTATGGGTACCTTCTCATCCTCTGATTCGTGGAGCCCGGGTGATGCGCGGCACGGCGCGTGGCATTCTAAAGACGAGCTCGAATCGCTGCGGCGCGTGCGCGGCCCAGTGGAGCCGCTGGCCGTCAGGAAGGCGCGCGCCGGCCAGCCCTCGGCCCCGCGCGGGCACCCGCACGGGCCGGCCGCCGCGAGGCCGGCGGCGGCGGCGAGGCCATGGCCGCGGAGCGAAACATGGTCAGGCGCACCTGCCGGCGGTCCAGGTCCAGGCGGCTGATGTAGACCCTCACCTCGCGGCCGACCGACAGGCCATCGGGGCAGAGTACGATGTCGATGTCCATGGGGTCGAGGAGGCCGTTGACCTCGCAGTTGAAGTCCACGAAGTAGCCGTGGGTCGTGCTGTTCTTCACTGTGCCCAGGTAGCCTTCGGCCGGGCCGCCACTGAGCTCCTCGAGCTGCATCCTCGCGCACGTCTCCGTCGGCTTCCAGGGACGGTCGGCGACCAAGCATGTGCCGGAGGCCTCGTCAACCTCGTGGCAGTACACTCGGAGCTCCGTGCCGCGCGGCTGGAGGACCTCCGTCGTGATGAGCCTGCCTGGGACCTCGCAGTTGAAGTCCACCAGAGCGCCGCCCTGGGCAGTGCAGGACACCACCACGGCGCGGAAGGGCCCCTTGCCCGCCCGCAGGTCGCTCAGGCGCATCCGCTGCACGTTCCCCCGCCGCGGGAGCTGGGGCAGAGGCTGCAGTGCCACCTGCAGGTGCGGCTGCTCCTTGCCGAGCTCCTTCCGGCAGCAGTAGACGGCCACCGTGCTGCCGAGCTCCGGCGCGGGCTCGTCGCTCCCGTCGAGGGACTGCTCCGGGTACCAACGCGCGGGCGCCTCGCAATTCACGTCCACCAGCGCGCCGTAGCCCTGCAGGAAGACGGCACACACGCGGCCCTCGGAGCACGTCCGCCCCGAGTCGTCCACCTCGGCGACGGGAATGCGCGCAGAAGCGCCGCTCACCGGCGGCACTGCGCTGTCGCTCTCTCGCCAGCGGAGGGCGTTGCCGTAGTCGTCGTCGACGTCGACGTCCTCCTGGCCCAGCTCGTCCGCGTCGTCCCACTCCGCGGGCGCCGCTCGCGGCACGGGACTGCGGGCGGCCTCTGGCACCGGCGCAGGGACGACCTCGGGCGAGAGCTCCTCCACGATCCTCTCCACGAGCGCCTCCACTCCAGCGGGACCCGCTTCGCCGCCGGCCTCGCCGCCGGCCTGGGTGAACGTCGGCCCCGCATCGTCTTTGCCGGGCTGCATCAGTGCGCACCTCAGCCGGATCTTGCCGTCGGGGAGCAGCTCTGCCAAGCCCCCGGCAGAGGCGCCCGGTGGCACGCTGAGGCGGGACGCGAGCGCGCGCTCGTACTGCACGCAGAGGCGCGTGTTGGGGTCGTCCTGCCGCCGCAGGATGTTTGCGACCCCCTCGTCCTGGGCCCTGCACAGCAAGCCCACGGCACCCTGCCCGAATGCAGGCATGAACACCTCTGGCTCCAGCACCCGCATGTCCCCGGCGGCCTGGCGAAGTCCCCAGCGGCTGAGCTCGGCCGCAGCGCAGACGCAAGCATCCCTCCTGCCCTCGCTCAGCAGCCTGAGCCGATGCTGGAAGCCGGTTCTCTGATCGTCCACAATGAGGTGCGGGTACCTCGACTCTATCTGCAGCCGGCGCCGCAAGCAAGGCGCGCACACCACAGCGCCCTCGGGCAGCTTGTCGAGGCCGGCCACTGCAGACGCCGTCACCGCCTCAGGGGCCTGCAGGGGCACCACGGCATGCGCCGCGGCGCCAGGCCTCGCGAGGAGGGCCTCACGCGGATCCTGCCTTGGCAGGACGGCGGCGAGCAGCAGGCCCTCTGGCAGGGCCTCGGGGACGTTCTTCATCGACAAGGCCACGAAGTCCACGTACCCCTCTTGGATGAGCTGCAGCAAGTACTCCAGGTGCGCCCTGCTGCAGGCGCTGAAGTCCGTGCCTGGCAGGAGGTCGGGCAGCAGCTCGAAGGACACCGCGGCCTCCGCATGGAGCTGCCGGCGCAGCCACAGCAGCAGCTGGGTATTGGGCGCGCCGCCGACGTGCACCCCCTCTGGGGGCAGCTCTGGCGGCCCCTCGCTGCCGAGCCCCGCGGCCAGGGGCCCGGCGCGCCTCGCCACCAGCGGCCCGCTGGCCGGCGCCCCCACGATAACCTCAGCCCGCCTGGCGGCGGCTGCGCGACGGCGGGCCCAGCCGCGGGAGCCCGACGGCCTCCTCCGCCGCCCGAGGCGCGTGGCGGCCACCGCGGCGGCCGGGCAGAGCCCGAGCGGGAGCTGGCGCAGCGACCCCGTCCACCCGCCGCGCCAGGGCCCCTCGGCCTCTCCGGCGGGCGGGCACCGCGAGCCCAGCGCCGCGGGTACCGCCGAGATGGTCGAAGGCAGCAATGTTATCATTGACGCCGCGCCGCGCCCCCGTCCCCGGCGGGGACGGCCCGCCCGGCTCGAGCCAGAGCGGCCACGGAGGAGCCATCTGCTGCAGCAGAGCCTCCCCTGCGCGGCCTCCCCAGACCCCCGTGCGTCATTGCTTTGTTCAAAACGTCGACCCCCATGAGGTCTGGACGCCTCCCCCGGGACCGGGTTTTCATCCTCAGTTGTTTTGTTGACGGTCCCGATGCCTGGGAAGAGTCCCTGGAGGCCGAGAATAGCGGAAAGCCTCCCGTCGTGTTTTTGTTCGCAACGTGAGGGGGTCTGGTTTGCTCTGGCCGCTGCGGGTGAATTTGAGCGGCCCCCGCCACTCGCGCATCCTGTGCCTGCTCCCCCCACCCCCCCCATCCTCCCCTCCGGGCTGTCGACTGCCGCCCACCCCGCCTCCTCCTCCTCCTCCTCCTCCTCCTCCTCCTCCTCCTCCTCTTCCTCCTCCTCCTCCTCCTCCTCCTCCTGCTCCTCCTCCTCCTCCTCCTCCTCCTGCTGCTCCTCCTCCTCCTCCCTCCTCCTCCTCCTCCTCCTCCTCCTCCTCCTCCCTCCTCCTCCTCCTCCTCCTCCTCCTCCTCCTCCTGCTCCTCCTCCTCCTCCTCCTCCTCCTCTTCCTCCTCCTCCCAGCACGCCTCCACACCACAACAGATCTGCCTCATGCGGTTTTGGCTCCAGCCGCCACCTTGCAGAGTGGCACACAACTCTCCGGCCACCCCTCTCGAGCTGTGCCCGCTGCAGCGGATCGGGCGGCCGCTGGCCGCGCACGTCCGATCCCTCCGCGCCTGCGATCGGGCGCCGCCCACCAGCGGCAGCACCGCCGCTGGGGCGGACGGCGGCCATGCGCAGCGCACGGGTAGCGATGAGATCGCGAGGCCCACGACTCTCGCCGAGGGGCGGTGAGGGCCGTGGGGCGCCCACCGACGCCAGCGCCTTCGACAGACGACGGCCCCGGGAGATGCCCCGAGGCCCTCGGACTAGGCGTCGTTGCAGCGGGGTGGAACGGGCACTAGGAACTAAGCAGCTCACCGCTCCCAGCGGGTGGGCGCCCGGAGGAGTGCGCCCATCAGCTCCTCGGGGGCGGCAGCGCGGCGCCAGAGCCTGCATGCGCGCCAGCGGCGGCACCGGCACTGCACCAGCGATCGACTGCAGGCGGAGGTCCTCGACAGGCTGGCGCCGCCACCCGGGGCGGGGTCAGCCCACGGCCAGAGCGCCCGCGGGAGGCCAGAGGCCGCTCGTCGCCAGCAGCTCGGCGGACGGCCTGCAGGGCACGCCGCCCCTGCCCGTCCCGAAGCAGGGCGGGGGCGGCCGATGGCCGTGGACTCAGCCTCAGCCGCATCCCGAGCAGCAGCCACAGCCCGAACCCGCAGCCCGAGCCGAGAGCGGGCGCACACGACCTCCACGGCGAGGTGACGGCGGGCGGCGCGTCGGCTGCGAGCACCTTGGGCTTGTTCTCGTCCTGGAGGGCTCGGCCAAGGGTCGGTAGGTATCGCGCGTCCCCAGGGTGCGTTAGCAGGAGGGCGATCGGCACACCTCGCAGCAACACGCGCACGACATGGGCGTGGAGGAGATGCGACAGGCCAGCGCGGGTTCGAGGCCGCGGATCCGCTGATATCAGATTGCAAGCGACTTGGGATGGGAATACCATTGCTGACGGGCGGAGCGGGATTGCGGAGAGAAGCCCCACCGCACGCTGTAGTACAAGCTGAACGCAGACGAGGACAAGCACGAGCGCGAGAACCACCGACGAATTCAAGCGGCAAAACGGGAATTCAGCAAGGGACCACATGTGCTCTGTCGAGACAGCAGGCCCAGTGGCCCGGGCCAGCCAAGGGCAAGCTGAAAGCCCTTTTGGCGAACCGACGCCGGACTGAGGCTGGTCAGCCACGTGACACTTGAAATTCCTTCATCAGCGGCCCCTGGCCAGTTTTCTCCAACCATCCTGTGGTGTTGGGCGCCTCCTCGCCTTGGAGACTCAGTGCCCCGCGTCTCCTCCTCCTCCTTGTCTTCCTCCTCCTCCTCCTCCACTTCCTCCTCCTCCTCCTCCTTGTCCTCCTCCTCCTCCTCTTCCTCCTCCTGCTCCTCCTCCTCCTCCTCCTCCTTCCTCCTCCTCCATCTCCTCCTCCTCCTCCTCCTCCTCCTCCTCCTCCTCCTCCTCCTCCTCCTCCCTCCTCCTTGCCTCTGCCCCCCTCCGCGTGCCCATTTCGGCACACACACAGAACTCACACGGTTCGTGGCCCCATGCGGAGCTCCACCCGAGGCCCCAATGCCAGCGCTTGCATGGCACACCCGCCCCTGATTCAGCACACCCTCACGCGCTTAGTGGCCCCAGAGGGAGCTCCACCGAAGGCCCGCAGGAACTCCTCGCATGGCGTACCCGCGATCGATTCGGCACACCCATCACACGCTTCGGCCCATGGGGAGCCCCAACTGAGGCCCAAATGCCAACGTTCGCATGGCGCACCCGCACCAGATTCGGCACCCCCCTCATACGTGTCGTGGCCCCAGAAGAAGCTCCACCGAAGGCCCCAGTGGCTGCGTTTTCATGACGCACCCGCCCGCGATTCGGCGCACCCCTCACACGCTACGTTGTCCCCTGGGGAGCTCCACCGAAGGCCAAGTGGCAGCGCTCGCATGGGGTACCCGCGATTGTTCGGCACACCCCTCACGCGCTTCGTGGCCCCATAAAAAGGGGCTCCATCGCAGGCCCCAGTGGCTGCACTCGCACGGCCGCAACTGAGGCCCACATGCCAGCGCTCGCATGGCATACCGGCGCCGGGTTCGGCACACCCCTCACGTGTTTCGTGGCCCCAGAGGGAGCTCTACCGAAGGCACCGGTGGTTGCGCTCGCATGGCGGCAAAGCGCCAGGCTCGGCATACCCCTCGGGCGCCTCGTTGCCCCATAGGGAGCTGGCCCTCTTTCGTCTCGCCTGCCTTGCGGTACTCGTATCCGCATATGGTCGGGTCGTTCGCCAGGATATTTCGGCGAGCCTGTCCGGAGGGCAAGGGAGTCTGGTTTAATAGGACGGCGTCATACAAGCAAATAATGGAGAGGGTCGGTTTTCCAGGCTGGTTTCCTCGATCCACCATGCTAGCATCTATCACCCACGAGCGGGCAGCTCCCTGATATCCGTGCGTCCTCCACCATCAACTCCCCAATCCGAGTCAACGTAACGACTCTATGCCTCCGAGCTTGATCCTTAGCGCTGTCTCCGTTGCCTCCATTCCCGATCCTCATCATCATCCTCACCGCTCGCCGTCGTCGCCGGTCATGACCGCCATCGTGCGCTTCCGACAGCACAGGAAGCACAGGACATCGCCCTTCTCCCCCAAACCACGACGGTGCCGATGCCTACGATGCCCCCAGGATTTGGGCACTCCCCAAGCGCCAGGGCCTCCCGAGACAATGGGCAACGTCAGCTGCCCCTTCCCCCCTTTCCCTCCACCCTTCCCTCATGGCCGTGCACTAATACGTTCCACTTAGTTGCTGCACTCACTTTGCCCCAGCGTCCGCCAGAGATGCACGGCTGCAATCAGTCAATCAAACCAAGGTCTGGAATTCGACATACAGGAGTGTTCCCAGGCATCTGCCAGTTGTGGGGGGGAGTGCAGGCGAGAGTGCGTCATCCAGTGCGAGGCGGACCATCCACGAGACTTATTGAACAACTGGAAAGCACGAGTCAGCCAGCGTTGCTGCATGGTGCCAGTCTGCCAGATCTGAACGCTCGACCACTACAAGAGGATCGGCTTGCAATCGTCTCTGGGACTTTGTGACGCGCGGCGAGCAGATCCCGCTGGACATTTTGACTCTCCGCTGCAAGTACCACAGCTTCGCCGTTCCCATCACGGCCGTGTCTTTCTGGGCATCGTGCCGCCAGGTGTCCTGTGCTGAGCGGAGTTGCTCCTGGTAAGGTCGGAGCTCATATGTGCAAAACTGCCGGGTGTAAGTTCGCTATGAGCTTAATCCGAATGTTCCCCACCAGGAACGAATCCTTAAACAAGCGCTTGCACTCAGAAGTTACTATTGGAAATTGGTGGATCCGCCCAAGGTTTCGCCGTGTGGCCGGCCGTGGCCGCCCCGTGCCCGCCCACTTGGGGAATCCGCCGAGGGCTGGGCAGCGTCGCCGCCCGCGGTCGCCTCGTAGCCGGCTCGCTACCGCCCATTTGAGGCTTCGCCGCGCCATCGCCCGCGTCCGCATCGTTGCAGCTCAAGTGGCCGAGGTCGCCTCGTCGCCGCCCGTGGTCGTTTCGCGGCTGCCTCCTTGCCGCCCACTTCGGGGGACCGCCGAAGCTTCGCCGCGTCATCGCCCGTGGCCGCCTCGGGAACGCCTCGTTGTCGCACAATTGGGGTTCCGCCGAAGTTGCGCCGAGTGGCCACCCGTGGCCTCATCGTTGCCGCTCGACGCGCGCTGGAGGTTCGCCGAAGTTTCGGCGAAATTTCGCCACGTCGCCGCCCGCGGCCGTCTGGTTGCCGAGGACGGAGATGGAGTAGAGAAGGACGATGGGAGAGTAGCTCGAGCCCCTCCGGCTTGAGCGGTTGCAAAGGCATTCGGCTGCGTGGCTTCACCAGCCTGCTGCCCATTCTCTTATTCCTCCTCTTCCTCCTCCACCTCCAGAGCTTTCTCAGGAATGACAGGCCCCTGAGGCGGCTGTCTTTCAAGGGTGCGCGTCAAGTGAAGAAGGGGGATGCTGCCAGTGAAGTATGAAGAGTTCGCGTGCGGCGTGGCGGAATGGTGCCTTGCAGCATCGTTGGTGCAGCCTGGGTTCACTCTGGGCCTCCTCCTCCTCCTCCTCTTCCTCCTGCTTCCCCCCATATCCTCCTCTATCCCCTCCTCCATCAGCTCCTCCTCCTCCTCCTTTTCCGTCTCCTCCTCCTCCTCCTCCTCCTCCTCCTCCTCCTCCTCCGCCTC